TGAGATTGTGCCGTCCCAACTGCCCATTGCTGGTGAGGAAAAATATGAAGCAATTCTATGAATGAAATCAGTCTGCTTTTGAGTCGACTAAAGAAGGGAGTACAGAGGTGCAGGGTGTTGAGATTGTGCCGTCCCAACTGCCCATTGCTGGTGAGGAAAAATATGAAGCAATTCTATGAATGAAATCAGTCTGCTTTTGAGTCGACTAAAGAAGGGAGTACAGAGGTGCAGGGTGTTGAGATTGTGCCGTCCCAACTGCCCATTGCTGGTGAGGAAAAATATGAAGCAATTCTATGAATGAAATCAGTCTGCTTTTGAGTCGACTAAAGAAGGGAGTACAGAGGTGCAGGGTGTTGAGATTGTGCCGTCCCAACTGCCCATTGCTGGTGAGGAAAAATATGAAGCAATTCTATGAATGAAATCAGTCTGCTTTTGAGTCGACTAAAGAAGGGAGTACAGAGGTGCAGGGTGTTGAGATTGTGCCGTCCCAACTGCCCATTGCTGGTGAGGAAAAATATGAAGCAATTCTATGAATGAAATCAGTCTGCTTTTGAGTCGACTAAAGAAGGGAGTACAGAGGTGCAGGGTGTTGAGATTGTGCCGTCCCAACTGCCCATTGCTGGTGAGGAAAAATATGAAGCAATTCTATGAATGAAATCAGTCTGCTTTTGAGTCGACTAAAGAAGGGAGTACAGAGGTGCAGGGTGTTGAGATTGTGCCGTCCCAACTGCCCATTGCTGGTGAGGAAAAATATGAAGCAATTCTATGAATGAAATCAGTCTGCTTTTGAGTCGACTAAAGAAGGGAGTACAGAGGTGCAGGGTGTTGAGATTGTGCCGTCCCAACTGCCCATTGCTGGTGAGGAAAAATATGAAGCAATTCTATGAATGAAATCAGTCTGCTTTTGAGTCGACTAAAGAAGGGAGTACAGAGGTGCAGGGTGTTGAGATTGTGCCGTCCCAACTGCCCATTGCTGGTGAGGAAAAATATGAAGCAATTCTATGAATGAAATCAGTCTGCTTTTGAGTCGACTAAAGAAGGGAGTACAGAGGTGCAGGGTGTTGAGATTGTGCCGTCCCAACTGCCCATTGCTGGTGAGGAAAAATATGAAGCAATTCTATGAATGAAATCAGTCTGCTTTTGAGTCGACTAAAGAAGGGAGTACAGAGGTGCAGGGTGTTGAGATTGTGCCGTCCCAACTGCCCATTGCTGGTGAGGAAAAATATGAAGCAATTCTATGAATGAAATCAGTCTGCTTTTGAGTCGACTAAAGAAGGGAGTACAGAGGTGCAGGGTGTTGAGATTGTGCCGTCCCAACTGCCCATTGCTGGTGAGGAAAAATATGAAGCAATTCTATGAATGAAATCAGTCTGCTTTTGAGTCGACTAAAGAAGGGAGTACAGAGGTGCAGGGTGTTGAGATTGTGCCGTCCCAACTGCCCATTGCTGGTGAGGAAAAATATGAAGCAATTCTATGAATGAAATCAGTCTGCTTTTGAGTCGACTAAAGAAGGGAGTACAGAGGTGCAGGGTGTTGAGATTGTGCCGTCCCAACTGCCCATTGCTGGTGAGGAAAAATATGAAGCAATTCTATGAATGAAATCAGTCTGCTTTTGAGTCGACTAAAGAAGGGAGTACAGAGGTGCAGGGTGTTGAGATTGTGCCGTCCCAACTGCCCATTGCTGGTGAGGAAAAATATGAAGCAATTCTATGAATGAAATCAGTCTGCTTTTGAGTCGACTAAAGAAGGGAGTACAGAGGTGCAGGGTGTTGAGATTGTGCCGTCCCAACTGCCCATTGCTGGTGAGGAAAAATATGAAGCAATTCTATGAATGAAATCAGTCTGCTTTTGAGTCGACTAAAGAAGGGAGTACAGAGGTGCAGGGTGTTGAGATTGTGCCGTCCCAACTGCCCATTGCTGGTGAGGAAAAATATGAAGCAATTCTATGAATGAAATCAGTCTGCTTTTGAGTCGACTAAAGAAGGGAGTACAGAGGTGCAGGGTGTTGAGATTGTGCCGTCCCAACTGCCCATTGCTGGTGAGGAAAAATATGAAGCAATTCTATGAATGAAATCAGTCTGCTTTTGAGTCGACTAAAGAAGGGAGTACAGAGGTGCAGGGTGTTGAGATTGTGCCGTCCCAACTGCCCATTGCTGGTGAGGAAAAATATGAAGCAATTCTATGAATGAAATCAGTCTGCTTTTGAGTCGACTAAAGAAGGGAGTACAGAGGTGCAGGGTGTTGAGATTGTGCCGTCCCAACTGCCCATTGCTGGTGAGGAAAAATATGAAGCAATTCTATGAATGAAATCAGTCTGCTTTTGAGTCGACTAAAGAAGGGAGTACAGAGGTGCAGGGTGTTGAGATTGTGCCGTCCCAACTGCCCATTGCTGGTGAGGAAAAATATGAAGCAATTCTATGAATGAAATCAGTCTGCTTTTGAGTCGACTAAAGAAGGGAGTACAGAGGTGCAGGGTGTTGAGATTGTGCCGTCCCAACTGCCCATTGCTGGTGAGGAAAAATATGAAGCAATTCTATGAATGAAATCAGTCTGCTTTTGAGTCGACTAAAGAAGGGAGTACAGAGGTGCAGGGTGTTGAGATTGTGCCGTCCCAACTGCCCATTGCTGGTGAGGAAAAATATGAAGCAATTCTATGAATGAAATCAGTCTGCTTTTGAGTCGACTAAAGAAGGGAGTACAGAGGTGCAGGGTGTTGAGATTGTGCCGTCCCAACTGCCCATTGCTGGTGAGGAAAAATATGAAGCAATTCTATGAATGAAATCAGTCTGCTTTTGAGTCGACTAAAGAAGGGAGTACAGAGGTGCAGGGTGTTGAGATTGTGCCGTCCCAACTGCCCATTGCTGGTGAGGAAAAATATGAAGCAATTCTATGAATGAAATCAGTCTGCTTTTGAGTCGACTAAAGAAGGGAGTACAGAGGTGCAGGGTGTTGAGATTGTGCCGTCCCAACTGCCCATTGCTGGTGAGGAAAAATATGAAGCAATTCTATGAATGAAATCAGTCTGCTTTTGAGTCGACTAAAGAAGGGAGTACAGAGGTGCAGGGTGTTGAGATTGTGCCGTCCCAACTGCCCATTGCTGGTGAGGAAAAATATGAAGCAATTCTATGAATGAAATCAGTCTGCTTTTGAGTCGACTAAAGAAGGGAGTACAGAGGTGCAGGGTGTTGAGATTGTGCCGTCCCAACTGCCCATTGCTGGTGAGGAAAAATATGAAGCAATTCTATGAATGAAATCAGTCTGCTTTTGAGTCGACTAAAGAAGGGAGTACAGAGGTGCAGGGTGTTGAGATTGTGCCGTCCCAACTGCCCATTGCTGGTGAGGAAAAATATGAAGCAATTCTATGAATGAAATCAGTCTGCTTTTGAGTCGACTAAAGAAGGGAGTACAGAGGTGCAGGGTGTTGAGATTGTGCCGTCCCAACTGCCCATTGCTGGTGAGGAAAAATATGAAGCAATTCTATGAATGAAATCAGTCTGCTTTTGAGTCGACTAAAGAAGGGAGTACAGAGGTGCAGGGTGTTGAGATTGTGCCGTCCCAACTGCCCATTGCTGGTGAGGAAAAATATGAAGCAATTCTATGAATGAAATCAGTCTGCTTTTGAGTCGACTAAAGAAGGGAGTACAGAGGTGCAGGGTGTTGAGATTGTGCCGTCCCAACTGCCCATTGCTGGTGAGGAAAAATATGAAGCAATTCTATGAATGAAATCAGTCTGCTTTTGAGTCGACTAAAGAAGGGAGTACAGAGGTGCAGGGTGTTGAGATTGTGCCGTCCCAACTGCCCATTGCTGGTGAGGAAAAATATGAAGCAATTCTATGAATGAAATCAGTCTGCTTTTGAGTCGACTAAAGAAGGGAGTACAGAGGTGCAGGGTGTTGAGATTGTGCCGTCCCAACTGCCCATTGCTGGTGAGGAAAAATATGAAGCAATTCTATGAATGAAATCAGTCTGCTTTTGAGTCGACTAAAGAAGGGAGTACAGAGGTGCAGGGTGTTGAGATTGTGCCGTCCCAACTGCCCATTGCTGGTGAGGAAAAATATGAAGCAATTCTATGAATGAAATCAGTCTGCTTTTGAGTCGACTAAAGAAGGGAGTACAGAGGTGCAGGGTGTTGAGATTGTGCCGTCCCAACTGCCCATTGCTGGTGAGGAAAAATATGAAGCAATTCTATGAATGAAATCAGTCTGCTTTTGAGTCGACTAAAGAAGGGAGTACAGAGGTGCAGGGTGTTGAGATTGTGCCGTCCCAACTGCCCATTGCTGGTGAGGAAAAATATGAAGCAATTCTATGAATGAAATCAGTCTGCTTTTGAGTCGACTAAAGAAGGGAGTACAGAGGTGCAGGGTGTTGAGATTGTGCCGTCCCAACTGCCCATTGCTGGTGAGGAAAAATATGAAGCAATTCTATGAATGAAATCAGTCTGCTTTTGAGTCGACTAAAGAAGGGAGTACAGAGGTGCAGGGTGTTGAGATTGTGCCGTCCCAACTGCCCATTGCTGGTGAGGAAAAATATGAAGCAATTCTATGAATGAAATCAGTCTGCTTTTGAGTCGACTAAAGAAGGGAGTACAGAGGTGCAGGGTGTTGAGATTGTGCCGTCCCAACTGCCCATTGCTGGTGAGGAAAAATATGAAGCAATTCTATGAATGAAATCAGTCTGCTTTTGAGTCGACTAAAGAAGGGAGTACAGAGGTGCAGGGTGTTGAGATTGTGCCGTCCCAACTGCCCATTGCTGGTGAGGAAAAATATGAAGCAATTCTATGAATGAAATCAGTCTGCTTTTGAGTCGACTAAAGAAGGGAGTACAGAGGTGCAGGGTGTTGAGATTGTGCCGTCCCAACTGCCCATTGCTGGTGAGGAAAAATATGAAGCAATTCTATGAATGAAATCAGTCTGCTTTTGAGTCGACTAAAGAAGGGAGTACAGAGGTGCAGGGTGTTGAGATTGTGCCGTCCCAACTGCCCATTGCTGGTGAGAAAAGACATGAATCGACTCTATCAATTTGAGTTTACTGAAAAAGGGAGTGGAGAGGTGGAGGGTGTTGAGATCGTACCATCCCAACTGCCGATTGCCGGTGAGGAGAATGCGTGTTGCTTTGCTGTCATTCACCGAGAACATAAGAAATATGCATGTCGCTCTGCTCTGCTTTGCTGCTCTCCTCCTGCCCTGCCACCGCCGCCACCACCACCACCACCACCACCACCACCACCACCGCCGCCGCCGCCGCCACCACCACCACCACCACCACCACCACCACCACCACCACCACCACCACCACCACCACCACCACCACCACCACCACCACCACCACCACCACCACCACCACCACCACCACCACCACCACCACCACCACCACCACCACCACCACCACCACCACCACCACCACCACCACCACCACCACCACCACCACCACCACCACCACCACCACCTCCTTCTCACAATCACTCTCCAACACCTCACCCACAGTGATGCTCTCGCTACAATCATAACTCTCGTCCCTCTCGCGTCCCTCGCGTCCCTCTCGCTACAGTCACAACTCTCTCCCTCTCCCTCTCGTTACAATCACATCAGGCCAGCGTGCCATCCGCAAGGCCATCTCAGCGCTGCTCGACGCGTGCCAGCTGGCGTCGCCGCCCGTCCTCGCGTGCGTGCTCGCTGACGTGGCGGCGGTGGCAGCTTCTCTGAATCTTCCTTTTCTCAAGTCTCAAGCCCTTCAAGATATGGGATCTCTGGAGAGTGCTTCGTCCCCTCTACAAGCCCACACAGGTACTTGCTTTCTTACTCCATGCGAGTGCTGTGTTTTTCACTCTTTCTTTCTTTCAGTTGAATTTATCGATTAGTTTTGACCGCTCGAAGAAAAAAAAAAATCCTTCCACCCCACTTCTTTCCTTTTTTTTTTTTCCCAACCCCCTTGCTGCAGCTCTCTACATGCTTCAACACATCCTGTCGCCACCTCCCCCTCCACCCCTCCCACCTCCCCCACCGTCACCCCTATCCCGCCCCTCCTCCCCATCCCCGTCCCCCTCGCCATCCTCCTCCTCTCGCTCCTCCCCCGCCTCCACCCCCACGCACAGCCGCACGCACAGCTTCACCCATTCTCACAGCTTCAATCACCCTCACAGCTTCAATCACCCTCACAGCTTCAATCACCCTCACAGCTTCAACCAGACTCATGGGCTTGCACAAGTGCCAGGCACCATCACACGCTCCTCCTCCCTCTCCTCCTCCTCTGGCGCTTCAGTCGCCACCATTCCTTCCTCTGCGAATATTCCCTCATCTGCCATTCCTTCCTCTGCTGCCATTCCTCCTTCTACCACCTCCATTCCCTCCTCTGCCCGTCCCGCTACTCCACCTGCTCCGTTTGTTTCATCTGCCATCCCACCACCATCACCAGCACCACCACCAGACCTCCTGCCAGCGCACACCAAGCGAGCTGTCGTGCTGCGAGTGGCCCGATTGGCCCACGAGCCCTGGCAGCCAATCGCGGTGCGCCAGCTGGCGCTGAGGTGGCTGCTGGCCCTGGAAGTCGACGGGGTGGCAGCAGCGGGAGGAGCTGATGCCTTCAGTGCAGATCTGCTGCAGCACCAGATGCAGCAGCAGCAGCAGCGCCATCATCCCCACCAGCAGCAGAACCAGCAGAACCAGCAGCAGCAGCAGCAGTATCACTCACATCCCCTCTCACTCGCACAGCAGCAGCACAGGAGGAGAAAGCCCATCCTGCCAGCACCCCAGCTAGCAGCGGCTCTCTCAATCCGCCTCTTCGATCCGCTCGCCCTCAAGGCCGCCAAGGCCCTCGCCTTCGCCCGCATCGCCGCTGCCGCGCTCTGCTCCTCCGCGCTCGACGCAGCCACATCAGCGCCTGCCACGTCAGCATCAGCCACGTCAGCATCCGCCACGTCAGCATCCGCCACGTCAGCATCCGCCACGTCAGCGTCCGCCACGTCAGACGCGGCTGCGGCGAGCCAATCAGGAGATCCCGCTGCTGCTGACGCGTTCCTGTCTGCCAGCCGCCTGCAGCATCAGCTGCTGCACGAGTCCATGGCAGCCCTCTCCCTCTTCTACTACCTCCCCCCCTCCTCCCTCGACGCACTCCTCGCCCTCCGCACCCTCCGCTGCTTCCTCACTGCCACACCCCTCCCCCTCCTCTCCTCTCCCCTCCTCTCCTCCCCACTCCTCTCCTCACCACTCCTCACCTCCTCCCCCCTTCTCTCCGTCCCTTCCTCCGTGCCTCTTACCCACCCGTCCCACTCGCATTCCTCTCACTCTGCTTCCACCTCCACACTGCACCCCCACTCGTTGACCATCAACGTTGCATCACCAGAGCACGAGGCCAAACCAGGCCTACTAACCAGGCAGCACTCACTCCTAGCACCAGGCCTCTCCACTCCCGCCCTTCCCCCATCCATCCTCTCATCTGTGCAAGCCTACCTGCTCAGCACCCTCACAGCCATGCCAGACCACATTCCAAACCTCCTCTTCTTCCTCTCGTGCCTCGCGCACTGCCCCCACCACCACGCCCTCTCCCGCGCTCTCCACCGCACTCTATTCTCCCAGCTCATCCCCCTCCTCAGCCAACTCTCCCCCACCCTCCCTCCTGCTGCATCTACAGACACAAGCGATCAACCTCCTTCTCTCTCTGACAATGCTGACTTTCCCTATATGGATCCATATAGCCTTTCCCCTCTTTCTTCTACTCTTTCTCCTTCTCCTCTTCTTCCTCCTCCTCCGCCTCCAATCCCCCCCCTCCCTGCTCCCTTCACCTCCACCGCACGATCTGCCAGGTCAGCAGGCTATCTGACGGCTCAGCCGCTCCTGGTGCCTCTCTCCCTCTGCTTTGTACCCTGTTACCTCCCCCTCCTGTACTCGCTCTCGGCCAATCCCGACGTGCCACCTGGCCCAATCGTGGATCTCCTGTTGGCGTTTCTGCAGAACGAGCGGGAGAGGAAGATGAGGGGAGGCGCAGGGGGAAGGAATGGAGGAGGGATGAGGGGAGGGAAAGGGGGAAAAGGAGAGGCAAGAGAGAGGGAGGAGGAAAGGAGGAGGGAGGGTGGTGCTGGTAAGACGGCAAAAGTGTCTGGTATGGGTATGGGTATGAGTGGTGGTGCTGCTGCCATTGCACGTGTGGAGGGGGCATCATGGGAAGACACGGCTCAAGTGCTCTCCATATGCCGGTGAGCTAAGGGTTCAAGGGAGCGACCCAAGCGTGCCTTGCCAGTGGCGTTTGGTTTATTCGGCTGCCTCTCTTCGTTCACGCGACTCACATTTCTCTTTCCTTGCTTCTTTTTCTCCCCCCCCCCCCCCCACCCCCCCCCCTCGCCCCCCTTCATCGCAGCACCGTGCTGACAAGCCATGCCTTGTCCGTGGCGTTTGACCCGTTGACCGGTTGACCACCCTCTTCTCGTTCCTCTTGCCCTGTTTCTTCTCCTTCCCCCTCCCCTGCTGCAGCACTGTCCTCATAAGCCATGCCCTGTCCGTGGCGTTTGACCCGTTGACCCGCCTCTTCTCGTTTGTCACTCTCCACCACCCAGACATCACGCTGAGGGACAGAGCTAGGTGCGTGCGGAATGTGCAATGTGATGTCATGTGATGGGTGTGTGCAGTGCCTGGTCAATGTGTTCACTCTTCATGTTTTGAAAACAGCAGCCTCTTCTCGATTGTCACTCTGCACCACCCAGATATCACGCTCAGGGACAGAACAAGGCGTGTATATATTCAATCTCTTTATTCTCCCAATTTGTTTATGGTGCTTTGGCCTCATGCTCACTTCACATAAAATTACGTCACATCACACATGCATCGTATCGCATCATATCGCATCGCATCGCATCGCATCGCATCGCATCGCATCACATCACGTCACATCACCTTCCCTTTCTCTCCTATTCCCCTTCCCCTTCCCCTTCCCCCCACGCCCACAGGTTTTTCCTCCGCCTCATCACATCAGCACCAGGCCACATCATTCGTCATCTCCTCCTCTCCTCCTCCTCGCCATCCCTCCCTCCTGCCCCTGGCCGGGCCCCTATCACTGCACCTGCTCCTGCTGCTGCCGCACCGTTCCCTCCCCCCCTCTTTCACACTCCCGCGGGGGATATGCCTGCTGCTTCTGGCGGTGCCTTGTTTGCTCTCGCCTCGTCCGCTGCTTTGGCTACCACCAGTACTGATGTCACTTCATCGGCAGCAGTAGCAGCAGGAGCAGGAATGGGGGGAGGAGGAGCAGCAACAGGAGCAGGAGCAGCAGGTGCAACAGCAGCAGCAGCGGCGGCGGCAGCGGCAGCGAGAGCAGCAGCAAATCGACTTTTAGCAGACACAGCAGAAGGACCACCCTCCCAGCCCCAATCCGTGAATATGGCAGATGCAGCAGCATTCGCGGAGATCGCTGCTGTCATCAGCTCCCCCTCCTACTCCCTCTCCTCCTCCGCTCTTAAAGCCGTTGTTGCTGCCGCCGCCGCTGCTGCTCGCGCTGCTGCCGCTTCCGATGCTGCTGCTGCCGCGGCCGCTGCTGCAGGTGCTAGGGGAGTGGATGGTAGTGCTGCTGGCAGGGGGGGGCAGGGGCCAATGGGTATATTCTCAGCGATTGGGGATCTGTTCGTGTCCACAGCTACTGCTGCTGGTGCAGATGCTGCTGCTTCTCCTACCATTGCTGCTGCATCTGCTGCATCGGCTCCTGTTGCTACGTCTGCTTCTGTTGCTGCTTCTGGCCTGGCTGCTGGTGCAGCTGTCTCTTCAGCTTCATTGCTGTCCTCATCACCAGCTTCAGCAGTCTCATCTGTCGTCCCCACTTCTTCTTCCTCCTCCTCTTCCCTCTCCTCCTCTGTCTCTGCTTCTGCATCCACATCCCTCCCTTCTTCCCATCTTGCTCCCATCACCACCACCGCTCCACTTAAGTCGACACCAAAAACCAACACCAGCAGCAGCAGCAGCAGCAGCAGCGCCACCACCACTGCTACCACCACTTCCTCTACCTCCTCCTCTCTTGCCGCCCTTCCCTTGGATCCCATTCACCCCCGTCCACCGCCCAAAGGCCCGGTGCAGCTGTCACGCGTGCTACAGGCCAAACGGTGCCGGCCGCCGGCTGTTCCGGACTCATGGGAGCTTGTCCTGTTCCCCTCAGATGCGGACAAAAAGGGGCTGGGGGGGAGTGGGCGAAGGGAAGGGAGGCTGAAAAGGGGGCTGCTGCTGCTGCTGCTGCTGCTGCTGCTGCTGCTGCTGCTGCTGCTGCTGGTGAGGAGGGCAACCATGCTTCAGCTTCTGTTGCTGTTGTTGCTGCTGGTTCAAGCAGCAATGGTGCTAAGTGTCTCACTTTGTCAACTAAGCTCCAACCAATGCCAGCACAGCAGCAGCAGCAGCAGCAGCAGCAGCAGCAGGCTGAGAGTTCTAGCTGGTATCGGTCGCAGAGTCACCAGACTCTTGCCTTGCTGGACACGCACACTGCTGAGCTAGCAGCCATTCTGGACGAGTATTTTGCCATGCTGGCACGACGACAGCCTGGCGATTCCGGCTCAGCAACCATCATTCGTGCAGTTACCAGTGACAGCAGCAGTAAGGGTGGTTTCGGAGAGGACAGTGACTCTAACGAGGGTGACATTATAGGGTACGAAGAGGCTGAGGGGTTCTGGGTGCGTGTGCCTTGTGTGCTGAAGCTGCTGCCGACGGCTAGAGAGGAGCTTGCCTTCGATATAAGCACACTGGGCCAGAGTAAGGTTGCTGGTAGAGTTGGTGGTGGTGGTGGGGGAGGTGGCATAGGTGGTGGCATGGGTGGTGGCAGGGGTGATGGTTCTGGTCCTGCTGCTGCTGCCACGTCAGCCATTGATATGATCATGGGAGCTGTGGTGGGCGTGTTTGCTGTTGAGCTGAGTTTCCGAGCCTCGGTGTTTACCGGACCTATTGAGCCGTGCCTGATTCCGTGCCTGATGATGGCTCGGGATGAGGGGGTGACAGGGGAGGAGGGGGAAGAGGAGGTGTGGGAAGATGAGGAGGAGTGGGATGAAGAGGAGGGAGAGGAGTATTGTCTGGAAGGAGTGCTGGGAGAGGATGAGGAGGAGGAGAGTGTGGAGGGAGGTGGCAATACGAAGGGCAGCATGTGCCTTGTTGTTTTCAAACAAGACGAGAAGACGGCGCCAGCAGATGAGCCAGAGACAGCGGAACAGGAGGAGGAGCAGGAGGAGGAGGAGGAGGAGGAGGAATCTTTCAACGCGGATTTCACTAGGACCAACCCCTCCTCGTCCTCCCACCACCTACTAGCAGTCACGGACCAAACGCCCTTTGACATTGAATTCTCGCCCCATTGGCCCGCGCCGATCCTCGTGGCGGTAACCGTAACGTTCACGAGCCAAGATGGTCGCACGCTCGCAGGCGAGCTGGCGAGCATTCCGGTCGGCATAGAGGATTTTTTCATGCCTGCTCCCTGGCCGTTTGCCAGGCGCGGGGGTGGGCGAGGGGTGTGGAAGGGGTCGAGGCGGGGTGAGATGGAGGGGCGAAGCAGGGGTGAGGTTGGTGGTGGTGGTGAGGGCGAGAGGGAGGGTGGGGACCTGGGGTTGTTTGATGCTTTGTGGGAGCTTCTGGGAGGGGAATTGAGGGGTCTTGCTGGCAGCAGGGGTGGTGCAAAGCAGGAGGTTGCTGGTGAAGGGGGGTTGGATGGAGCGAAGGAAGCGATGCGGAGTAGAGGTTTAGTGGGTGGAAGTGGTTCAGGGAACGAGGAATTAGGGGCGTTTGATAAGAAGGGATTGCCTGCAGCCCGGCCTGAGTCAGTCCGCACTGTAGCTGTAACACCAGAGGCGGTGATTGGAGCAGCGGAGCAGCACTTGGGTCGATTTGTGGTTGGTGTTGAGGGGACGGGGATACGGCAATGGTTACAAGAAAGGGTGAAGCAGATGGTTGTTGGTGGCGGCGAATGTCTTCCCTGTGACAACGGGTCTATCAGCAGGAAACGCACTGTGAAGATGTGGGAGCGTGTGCTTGGGACAAGACCCTCAAGACCTGGGGCGGGTGGAGTGGGAGATAGTGGTGGCGGTGCTGCAGCAAAGATGGTGGGGGTAGGTGGTGCGTCAGGCCTGCTGTTGCTGACAGGTGGTATCGTGGAAGTAGCCTCGGTTCAGCAAGCTGCTGAGGTTGACCCTGAAGCTCGGACCTTGGGTTGCGTGCAAGTCCTTATTTTCATTCCGCCGCGGTTCCATGTGGTCATGCGCCTTGAGGTTGGAGCCGCAGCAACCGTAATCAGGTTCCGAACTGATTACTGGCCATGTCTAGTGCATGTAGATGAGTACTTAGAAACCATCCTACCATCGGCTTCTGTGATGGGAGACAGTGCCAGAGCGCCCTGAGTATTTCTTGCATCTAATGTGGACTTCATTGAGTTTGTATGAGTACGGATCACCATTTAACCAAAGATAAATCTACCGGTATACTCTGGTGGTTAGCGTTGATGCCCACAGGTTAAGGTTATATTAAGGTCGTAACCATGTACAGCAAAGCATAGAGCAACTAGAAATACCATGGTCTACTCAACCAACAGCCCAAAGGCGTGCGTAAGAAACACGTTATTTCCTTATCAACCGATAACCTCCAGCAAGGCTGGGGAGCGCTCTATGCTAAAAAAATGGGAGGGTCTAGGGGGGACGAAAGGGGTCTCCGAGAAGCCATGACGAGCGAAGATCTGGGTGGATAGAAGGGTTGCCGTCATGATAAAAAACGAAGAAGCGTAGTCGGGTTGCCAGCTTAAGACGAGAGGTCGAACGTTGCTGTTTCTTAACTGATTGTTTTTTCCTGCGCCAGAGGAAGATTTTGAAAGCTAGGAGGAATTGTGCCAGGATGAACTGGAGAGTATCGAAACGGGAGGAGGGGGAGTCGTGGAATTTATGATCACAGCGCGCATTCCAAATGGCCTTTGCAGATGCACCTACCAGAAGGCTCCAGTGAGCCACCTGGCCAGCCCTCGAGGCGAGCGGAAAGAGCAAGAGCTCAGGAGGAGGAGAGCAGTAGAGGTGGCGGCGAGCGACAGATGCGAGGGCGGAAATCACCGCAGGAGCCACCCCGCATTCGTAGAAGATGTGGGAAATAGTCTCAATAGGAGCAGAAGGGCAAAGTGAGCATGTCCCTCGATCGGCAGCAAAAGGGAACCGAGAGCCCGAGGGAAGAGCACGTGTGTAAAACTGATACAGGATGTCGCGGTGTAGGCTGGGTTGTTCTCGTAAAAAAATCAGGGGAGTAGTTCGGGACGAGAGGAGGAGGAGAGGGGAGGGCGCGGATCCAACGGACGTCATGGTCAAGGGGCCGCTGGGTGTAGAGGCGACGACGAAGGTCAGCTACACTGGGGCACCAGTCTTGTAAGATGTCGAGCCGCGCGCCGAGACCTGCACCTGTATAGTACGGACCTGCAAGCCAGGATCCGACGACGTGGACCGCGGTGAGGTCACCTATGTGAAAGGTGCCAGCTCCGATGGATGAACGGATAATGAGCCGGTTAGGAAGGACACGGTGGAGAGTAGCAGAGAGTGAGAATGGGGGGGAAAACGAGGAAACTTGGAGAGCGAGTGTAGGGGAAGAGTCGGCGTCTTTCGTGGGGAGGAACCACTCCCCAGGGGCTGCAATAGGGGGAGGGGGGGAGCGAAGAGCCACCCACCAGGTCTTGGGGATGGCGCGAATAAGGCCCCGCCAAACTCTTCGTCCAGAGGGGGTGTTTGCGGGGGAGCACGAGGATACAAAGTCCTTGAAAGAGACCAGACCCAGTGAGTAGAAAATGATTGATACCAAGTTGCCGACACGAACTTGCGAGGACAGGAGGAAACGTTCACGCGGAAGAATTCCAAATGGCTTCCCATTTGATTTAAGAATGAATCGGTTGAAGGCGGTGGGTTCGGCCATTATGCACATTGGGTTAAGGCGAGGAGGGGAAATGCCAGGAGAAATGTCGATTAGTGCCTGAAGTTCAGCAAGCGATCGGCTCGGAGTGTCTATAGGGAGAATACCCGATTGGAGGATGGCAGGGTGTGCTAGAAAACAATGGGTGCCGAAAGGGAGACAGACGGCGGTTCTCGCCACCTCCTCTGACGGTGAAACACCAAAGCGGCGCAACGCACGCTGGGTGGCAAGGGCACGAATTTGAGTGGAGGGGGCAACTTCCCCAAGACCGCCGTGACGAATGGAGTTGTAAAGGAGGCGGTTGGGGATGAGGCGGACCCCAAGGCCATGTTCCTTGAATCTAGAAGAGGATAGGAAGTTCCCGACTGTGACGTCAAGCCGCTTTATGATGTCAGAGGAGGGGGGTTGAAAGCGGCCAGGGAAGGAGAGGATGGAATTAAGGAACACCGATGCAAGCGTCTTGCGGCAGGTGGCAGTAGCGCGTAGGGCTGCAAGGAATTTTGTTGTACGCTGGATGCGCGAAAGGGTCATGGACCAAGTGGTAGCACCCGGTTGTGCTTGTTCGACGAAGATACCAAGAATACGCTCTGCTTCTTGGGGTGTGCGAATGGGAATGGGGCCAGCTAGGAGGATCTGTGCCGGGTCAATGAAGAAGGGAATAATTGAGCATTTATTCCAATTGGGATGCTCGCCAGAGACGGCGGCAAAAACCCGAAGGTGTATAAGTGTGGTCCCAAGCTCCCTGACGGATGAGAGAAAAATTATGACATCGTCAGCATAACATGCCATGAGTCGGCGTTGCGTCGCAGAGAGGGGGAATTCCGGGAGGAAGAGGGAGAGGTAGCGCTGAAGGATTTCAATAACACAAACAAAAAGGAGGGGGGCGAGAGGGCATCCCTGTCGGACCCCCGTGCGAACTGGGAAGGAAGGCCCAGCAAGGTTGTTGACAGAGACGCAGGTGGAGGTGTTGGTGTGCATGAGGCGGACCCAAGCAATAAACTGCTCAGGAAGTCCCAAAACAGCGAGCGCTCGGAGTAGGAAGGCACGGTCGACCATATCATAGGCTTTGCGGAAGTCGACAGTCAGAGCGAGGAGGGGGGACCGGGTGGTTGTACTCAAGTCAAAGATATCGAGAGTGTCGTTGATCGTATCGCCAATTTTCCTATTTTTGATAAACGCGGTCTGTGAGGGATGAATAAGCCTTGGGAGAACAATTTGCATTCGATTGGCAAGGCAGATAGCTAGCACCTTATAATCCAAGTTCATGAGGGTGATGAGCCGAAGGTTCTCAACCAGAGAAGAGTCGCCTCTCTTAGGGATTAGAACGGTGCGGCCTGAGAGCATTGACGGTGGGAGGGCTGCCGAGATGGGAGGTGAAGAGAGGAGTGAATGGAAAGCAGGAGCGAAACGAGTCTTGTGATGTCGAAATAGCTCCCCCGGAAGGCCATCGGGGCCGGAGGTTTTGCCATGGGAGAGTTGCCCAATGGCTTTGCTTATTTCCAAGAGTGAAAAGGGGGCTTGTAAGCGACTAAAGAGGTTGGGAGGGAGTGAGGAGGGGGGGATATGTGCCCAGAAGGAGGGGTTTGACATACCCGGAGTTACTCCGCAATAGAGAGACTGGAAAAATCTAGTGCATTCTGCAGTCATGGCTCGAAGGTCAGAGGTGATCTGGCCGTCTGGTAGCGTAAGTGAGGTGATTAAAGAATCTTTAATGCGGGTATTAAGGCCAGCCAGAAGGGAGGAAATCCCCATCTCCCTATGGCCCTCAACTTTGAGCTTTGCCTTGAGAGCGAGTTCAGCAATTTTAGCGGTTTCGTATTTTGTGAGATGCTGGCGGGCTTTGAGGAGTTGAGCGGCTGCATCAGAATCAAGTGGGGAAAGGGCAGTCTGGAGCTGGAGACGGCTAATAAGCTGCACAAGGTGATCAATTGTGCCGGTAACACGTCGACGCTCTTGGTTCGAGAAACGTTTGAGACTGAGGGTGAAGGATTGTTTCCAGGAGTCCCATGCCTCAGGGGAGAGGCGTGAGGGCAGAGAAGAGAGGTGAGAGTCGATGATGGCAGCGACTTGGGGACGGTGCAGGAGGGACGAGCTGAACCGCCATGGGCGCGGTGCCATGGCCGGGTTGTTGAAGATAAGGGAGCAAAACGGAGCGAAAGAGTGGTTAGAGACCTTTGTGGATGTGTAGATATAGGAGGTCTCAGAGACTCGGGGAAGAAATGAGTTGGATAGGTATATACGATCGAGTCTAGAGGTAGATGTACTGGCACCAGCCATGCCTGTACGACCGAAGTAAGAAAAGGCCGGAGTGGAGGGATGGAGTGAGCGGAATGTGTCAGAAAGTGAGTATGTTGACATGAGGTTAATGAACATGATAATGAGCTCTTTGCTGAGCGAAAACAACTCTGACATTTTGCTGCCCCAATTTGAGCAGAGTTTGGTGAGTGAGTAGTGTGAGGTGCCAGAAAAGATATGAAATGGTTTTTACAAGTATAAATTACATACTCCACATCAGAACGTCATCAATAAATAGTTCTACAGCAGATTCACCAGATACCAACATAGCTCCCTTTCAATCCGTAAGGAAGAGGGCCTCCAGCAACCAGAAGTGAGGTCCCACTGAAGTCTTGTGAGTGTGTGTACACGGCATGCTTAATATCTTGACCCGCAAAGTGCTCGGCGTAGACTTGGTCTTTCACCTGCACATACAGTATTCCAAGCTGAAACGTGGACTACCACAAAAAAAAAAAAAAAAAAAAAAAAAAAAAAAAAAAAAAAAAAAAAAAGAGAGGTAAATTGGAGAAAAGTAGTCTTCTATGGTAAATTGTTTCTCACCACATGTCCTGGGCCTGTGGAGTATGATATGGTGTCCATGTGGTTCTCCCCAGTACAGCTGCTGTCATTTATTTCACCTGAGGTTCAGAGCGAACGGAACTGGTGACTTATCCATGCTGGCACAAGAAATCATCGACCATTTATTTCCATGTTGACTCACGAATTCGTATATACTTCTGCGTTCTTGTATCAAGAAACGAGAGCCGACCCTTGCCTCCTCCACATGTCACGACGTTATCTTGAAAACTCAAAGACCGCACACCTGAAATAAGGAGTCAGAAATGGAAAATTGCCGAGATCCAGAAATGAAGAACTAATACGTACCCCATCCTTCATCAGCGGATGCTATTGACTTCACCACGTGTCCACACCGCATGTCAATAAAGGTTATAAACCGTTGTGACCCCACAGCCACCAATGGAGCTTTAACAGCCATGCAAACCAGCTCCTTTGGATCCGGGCATCTTATTGATGACACCTGCACGGGAGCACAGTACAAAGAAAATGCAATGTGACAACTGCAGGAAAGCACATGTAAGAGAATAAACACAAGAGAAGATAGAATTTACCACGAGCATCTCATGTGGATCCCACAGCTTGCACGTGCCATCCTGACTCAATGTTGTTACTGTCTGGCAACAAGCAGAACATTCAGGTTAGCTCATGTCCCCAGAAACAGATTGCTGCAGTGTCGTCCAGACCCTTCAACCCACTTCCGTGTCCGTGCAGTACTTGAGATCTCTGACTTTGTCGTCATGATCCGTACGGGTAACTATAGGTGACTGGTTCAAAAATTCGTCAGAACAAATCGACCATAATTTAACAGTAGAATCTCGAGAGCCTGAATAAGAGAACAAAGCGGCTCGTCAAACAGGTGTTTAAAGACTATAGATTCTCAGCACGAGAAGCAAAGCTGATGCCAATGATTGATAGATGCAAACCTGTAATAAGGTGACTGTCGCCAACCCAAGCAGCAGCAAACATCCAGTTCTCGTGACTCTGCACAAGGAACTTGGAGCTGCCAAGTTATGATATGCCAAAATGCTGACAAAAGATAACCTGAAGACAAACCAACCTGAAGAATGGCAACAGGGTCAAACGAAGGCAGCTTAAAGATGGCAACATCTTCTGGATTTGAGGCTCCGGTCGCCAAGAGTGTGCGTGACGGATTGACAGCTCTGTAGCGATATAAAAGTCAAAATTAGAGCATTGTCAAAGTTAAATGCTGCATGAACAAGAACCAGAGCATGGACCCACATGGAATGAATGCCACAGTTATCCTGGCGGTCGCGATGTCTTGGTTCTGGTGAATCAGGAAGAGGTATTTTTACATGCTTTCCGGTGTCTGTGTCCCAACGAATAAGTTTGTTGTCTTTAGTCCCAATGACGAATGTGGAATGGTCGACCCACGCGGAAGCAAAGACTTTGTCATAATGCTTGACATCATTCAGCTCTCTTTCTGAATACTGGAGAGGAATACTGGGAGCAGCAGATGCGACGCACTGTCGCTTCAAGCTCCTGGAAAGGCGAAAGAAAATACGTCAAACGTTCTGAACATGACGCCACTACAGCGAGCTACGGAAATGAAACGGACCCAGAGACGTTGAAACATTCTCGCTTGCGAGTAAACCTCCACATCGCCTGGTCGACAACGAGAAGAATGTCGTAAAGCTATCCGTTGATGATGCTCTCGCTCCTCCCTTGCTTGTTGGGAGGAGTGGACGAGCATTTGTTCCTTTAAGGGGCTTCAAGGGAACGCTTTATGAAGTTGAACTCGGAAAGATGAAATGGAGAACGTGACAACTTGGGAGGTCATCAGAAGACGGATTGGCTCGATATCAAGAAATCCCACAACAATATGTGGGTGCAAGGCCTCAGTTGTACATTGACTCAAACATTCCAAAACAGTTTAGATGAAAGACGACATAATGCACAATCTATAGCTGATTATCTGTGCTGTTCTGCATATTATGAAGCTTTTGATTATTATCTCCACAGAAAGTTTCTCGGAACAAAATTTATATGACCCTCGGGATCCTCCCTTCACTCCCATCAGCACAACCTTTCATCAGCTCACTCCCTCTTCGTGTGGTTCGACTTGTGAAGTCGAGAGTGGGAGACTCCCGTGCTGGAGGTGTTCAGATCTGGATTCTCTCCGTCGGTTTCGACCTTTTTTTTTCCCGCGAAGCCACTTCTGCGCCCAGATTCTTAGTAGAGTGAGTCGTCGACATGCCTGCTCGTCAAGATGTGGCTGTCGCCGCGGCAGGTGCAGCAGCCGTTGCCGCTGGAGGCGCTGCAGCAGCAGCGCCAGCAGCAGCAGCAGCAGCAACAGCAGAACCCGATCATGTCCATGATTCGCATGGCTATGTTCTGGTACATGATCAGCAATTTCTTTTTCAAGAAACCACCCAAGGATCCAGCCATGATTTCTCGGAACCTTTTTCGGAAAGGAGAGGATTTGGTGAGTGTCGCAGCTCCTCAGACATGCGCGGTAGATTGATCCATTTCGCCTCGTTCTCAGGTCTCTCATGGAGTAATCGGCGGAGTAATCGTCGGTGTATCCATGTTTATCCAGATCCGTAGATTGTGCCCACACTTTTTCTCTAGATCGACGGCCCATTGTAGACGCCTCTAGCTTGAATCTGTGGGTGGCGGGTTGTTTACGGGTGTCGACCTTGTTAGAGGGTAGCTGTTTCGCTCTCAGGAGTTGTATATGCTGCTCTTGTGTGCAGCTTTCAAATTCTGTTGTGAGTTTGATGTGTTGCGCCATCCCGTTTCACACATATCTTCCTCGCTATCAGGATATGTGGGTGTACATAACAGAGTCTGAAAAGTTCAGCAATTTCCAAGACGAGTCGGCACTTGTATGGACGGAGTCCGGAATACCGTACACGATGTATGATGCTCCTGCGGCTCGAAGGACCCTTGAGTTTACCTATTATCCTTCCAAGGTAAACCAGTCGCAATCCCCCGATCTGTAAGTCGTTTCTGCCGAACTATTTGAACCCTGTACCCTGAAACTCCGTAAAGCATCCCTTTCCTTCCCGAACTCTTAGTTCTGTCTCATCAGGTTTCTGCTGCTAACACCTCGTTTTACCCCTTTACGGACTATGCATTGTGTTTTTTCTTGTTTTACCAGGCTGTGACGGAGGGCAATGGGACTGTCTTCGCACATGTGTTCTTTGCGAAGTCAGGATACTCGCCAGACCCAACAGATCAGCTCTATGAGCGATTCTCAACGTTTTCTAAGACCCACCGTAAGCTGTCACAGGACTTCCGTCTTCTTACTCGCCTCTTCACTTTCTGGGCCCCACTGTGTCCCTCTCATCCTGATTCAGTGCTTGTCAGTGCAGCACAGCACATGATCCCATGTGAACCTCATTCTTCCTACTTCCACTCTCATGTCCCATATGTATCCCCCTTTTCTCCCTTGTGACTCTGCAGCACTAGTTGCGTATTATCCTCGGCCAAAGGTGGACACACGGAAGCGGCTCCTGGGAGGGGGATCAGATGCGAATGATACTGCTGGCGAGGTCAGTCAATGCCTCTGGCTGCTTTCCTTCCGGACCCAGCAACTGCTGTGTTTACCAGTAACCACGAGATGCAGTGGTTCTACATCATATGCAAGCAGGCATAATAGGACGCAAGTGATAATTCTGCGTTTGGCTGCAGCACACGCCCAGAAGCACACAGATGCAGACACCATCACGGGCACGCTCGTCCTTCTTCCAGAAACTGACTCACCTGCCCAACCCCCTCCCCCCCGGTCTCCCACACACGCACATTGATAATTGGTCATTGTGACTCCGGTTTTCTGTGTGCAAACTCTCTGCGTGCGAACTCCCGTTTTCTGTGTGCAAACTCTCTGCGTTGCAGCCACCTCCGCCATCTCCCAAGGCAGCAGCAGAGAGTGAGGGGAAAGGTGACAGCAGCAGCAGCAGCAGCAGCAGCGGTACCAGAGGAAGTGGAGTGGATTGGCTTTTGGAAGCCGAATCTGACCATTTCACTTATTGACGACTTCACTGCGTGAGTGTACTGCACGCTAGTTTTTCGCGTGAGCAAGAACGCAACTTTGTCTGAGTTTTTATTTGAGTTTTAATCTGCTTGTTAGCAAGGTTCGGGAAGTGGACTCTGGGCTGAGTTTCCCACCTAGAGGTTTCCTGTGTCCTCATTTTCATGTTTTTCCCTCTATCTCCCTGATCTCTTCTCCCGCAGGTATCCTCGAACGGCAATTCCGGAGATTTTCCACAAGCGTGAGTGCCACACTGCACTCACTCCTGGTTGTGACAGTGGCACCAGTTATCAATGCACACCACATGAGTCGACGTTGCAATGCCTGCGCCTCCACCTTGTTTCAGTCCACTATTTAGCCTCTTTCACAATGTAAATAATTTAGTTGCCCGAGGCTTCTCAGGTATTTGTCATGTGTCGCTCCAAGAAGACATGCCATTCGACCCTGAGAGGCAGGCAACTATTTCCTCATACTCCGCGCGAATGAGCCCTGACTTTCCAAGTGCAAGCACGCCCTGACTAGCGACAACTTTTCTTATACCAGTCATTGCGTATTCCACATGTTCGTCCCCTCAACCCCTCCTCTACCCCCCTTGTCCATCTCCCCCCAACTCTCGCCTACACTTCCCCCAGACATGACGTTTGATGCAGGGACAGGCAACTACTCCCCCACGTTGCACATGAACGAGTTCTGGCTTCTCAGAGACAAGCTCATCCAGCTCAACAGCTCCGTCTCTTATACCAGTCACCTGTTCTCCCACCACCTGCGATCTCTCACCTCCGCTTTCTTTCTACCCTCTTTTCCCCGTTTTCTTCTCCCCCCTTTCTCCCCATCTCCCTCCCCTCTCTCCCCTTCTTCCCCCCCCCCCCAACGTTTATGCCCTCAGACATGACGTTTGATGAAAATTCCGGCAACTACTTTCCCACGCTGCACATGAACGAGTTCTGGCTGCTGCGGGACAAGCTCATTCAGCTCAACAGCACCGTCTCCAAAGTCCCACTCTCCCTCGTGGTGGAGACGCTGCCGCTGTGGCGCTGGCAGATCTACCTCTCCATGGACCAGTCCTTCAAGCTGCAGCAGCAGTTCGGCACCGCCATGGAGTCAGAATCAGATGAGCTCAAGGTGGGGAACGGTTGGGTCGGTGGGGAGCTGAGCGGTGCAGTTGGGTGCTCTGTTGCCTGGCTGGATAGTTTGCACTACTGAATGGTATCTTCTTTCTCCCCGCTCCCCCTCTTCCCCCAACCCCCCCGCCCCCCTCCCCTCCTCCCTCCCGCCCCCCGGCCACACCTCACTCCCTCCTTGGCTTTCTCGTTCTTTTCCGTTTCATAGAGGCGCTTTCACGTCGATACCTGTGGAGAGAGAGAACTTTCATGACGCTTTTCTCCTATGGAAAATAAAATAAGCCTCGTTTCCTTCTGCTCCCCTGTGCATCCACTGCTTCTTTTCCCTGACGGCCAATGCACTCCAGAGGGTGTTCCTGGAGGGCAATCCCATTCTGCTGGGAATCACGGTGGTGGTGTCCATCCTGCACTCCGTCTTTGACTTCTTCGCCTTCAAAAACGGTATGCTGCGTGCAGGCAAAATCGCCATGTGTGTGCGTGCGCATTGATGTAGCATGCTGTTTCCCGTCCCTTGAGGGTGTTCCTGGAGGGCAATCCCATTCTGCTGGGTATCACAGTGGTGGTGTCCATCCTGCACTCCGTCTTTGACTTCTTCGCCTTCAAAAACGGTATGCTGCGTGCAGGCAAAATCGCCATGTGTGTGCGTGCGCATTGATGTAGCATGCTGTTTCCCGTCCCTTGAGGGTGTTCCTGGAGGGCAATCCCATTCTGCTGGGTATCACAGTGGTGGTGTCCATCCTGCACTCCGTCTTTGACTTCTTCGCCTTCAAAAACGGTATGCTGCGTGCAGGCAAAATCGCCATGTGTGTGCGTGCGCATTGATGTAGCATGCTGTTTCCCGTCCCTTGAGGGTGTTCCTGGAGGGCAATCCCATTCTGCTGGGTATCACAGTGGTGGTGTCCATCCTGCACTCCGTCTTTGACTTCTTCGCCTTCAAAAACGGTATGTGGCGGGCATGCTCCTTGGTGTAGCATGCCTTGTCTCTGTGTGACAGCTTGTCCCTGTCTTCCTCTACCTGCTGCCTTCTTCCCCTGCGGCCCTCCCCCCCGCCCCTTCATGCTCCAGACATCCAGTTTTGGAACCAGAACAAGTCAATGGAGGGCCTGTCCGCTTGCTCGGTGGTGATCAACTTCGTGTGACAGCCCATCATCTTCCTCTACCTGCTGCCTTCTTCCCCTCATCCCCTCCTCTCCCCTCCCCTTCCTCTTCCTTCTCCTCCCCTCTCCTCCTCCCCTTTCCTCTTCTCCCCTCTTCTCCTCACCGCTCCTCCTTTCCTCCCTCCTCCCCTCTCCTCCTCGCCTGTCCCCACGCCCCAGACATCGCGTTTTGGAACCAGAAAAAGTCAATGGAGGGTCTGTCCGCACGCTCCGTGGTGATCAACTTCGTGTGCCAGCTCATCATATTCCTCTACCTGGTGCCTCCTTCCCCTGCGACCCTCCCCCCCGCCCCTTCATGCCCCAGACATTGCGTTCTGGAACCAGAACAAGTCAATGGAGGGTCTATCAGCGCGGTCAGTGGTGATCAACTTCGTGTGCCAGCTGATCATCTTCCTGTACCTGCTGGACAACAACACGTCGTGGCTCATCCTCATCTCCTCCGCCATCTCCTGTGGGATCGAGTTCTGGAAGATCGGCAAGGCCATGCACGTCGAGGTGAGGTTGATGCATGGGTCGAAAGGGGGGGCGGGGGTGGGAATGGAGGTGAGGGGGTTGAGAAAAGGGGGAGAGGGTTAAGACTGAATGGGGAGGAAAGTGGACCAATGGGAGGTGAAGAGATCGAAGGTTTGGGACCGCGAGTTGTATGCTCCATCACACTCTCCCCCCCTTGTCCTTCATTCCCGCTCCTCACCTTTCTCTCTCCCTTCTGTGTCCCACCAGGTTGATCGTTCGGGCAGCATCCCATGGGTGAGGTTCAGGGACCGTGAGTCGTACGCGCGCAACAAGACCAAGGAGTACGACGCCATCGCCATGCGCTACTTCTCCCACGCGCTCCACCCACTCGTTGCCGCCCATTCCACCACCTACTCGCCCGTGCTTCACTGTCTGGAAGTCAAACACTCCATCATTCTCTCCCGGCCTTCCCCTCGTCCCTCTCTTTCTCTTGCCCCTCCCTCCTCCCCCTCCAACCTCCCTCAGATTGATCGTTCGGGCAGCATCCCGTGGGTGAGGTTCAGGGACCGCGAGTCGTACGCGCGCAACAAGACCAAGGAGTACGACGCCATCGCCATGCGCTACTTCTCCTATGCACTCTACCCACTCGTGGCCGCCCATTCCACAACCTACTCGCCCGTGCTTCACAGACCACCAGAACTCATACACTCCACCACTCTGTCCCGCCCTTTCCTGTATCCCTCCCTTCCCTCCCTTTACCCCCTCCTCCCCCCCCTCAGATTGATCGTTCGGGTAGCATTCCCTGGGTGAGGTTCAGGGATCGCGAGTCGTACGCGCGCAACAAGACGAAAGAATATGATGCCATCGCTATGCGCTACTTCTCCTATGCACTCTACCCGCTCGTTGCTGGTTACGCCGTGTACTCGCTCATATACGAGACGCACAAGAGCTGGTACTCCTGGGTTCTCAACTCGCTCACTGGCTGCGTCTACACCTTTGGTGAGCTTCAAAATACTGGGTTTTATATATATATATATACATACACCCCCCTTCCCTGTTCTCGGGGAAGGGGGTATCTTACCTTGCTCTTCTCTCTTCCTGTTTCTCTAGCCATTCACTCTCTCTGACCTCACTCCTATCTCGTTCCCTACATTGCCAATTGTGTCCAGATTTTGTGATTCTACAACGACCACCAGGCTCGATTCCGTCGAGCACCTGCCGTGGTTGGCTGATCACCCGTCTTGTTTAAAACCGTCCAAATTGGTTCAAACCTTCCTAAATTCGGTTGAGTGTCAACCTGGCACCCTAAACCTTGGCCAATTGCATTGCTCGCCCCAACCAACCCTCCTAGCGTTGAACTGCTTGGCCCGCGGGCATTAATCCACTTATCCCCACCCGTCCCTCACCGTTCCTTCCCACACCAGTCCATCTGCACCATCAGGCTTTATCATGATGGGTCCGCAGCTGTTCACAAACTACAAGGTCAAGTCCGTGGTGCTCCCTCCCTCCCTGCGTGGCAGACTTCCACTCCCACTTAACCGCCTGGTTTCTGTTTCCTGTGCCCCTTAACAAACCACCGCCACCACCAGGCTTCATCATGATGTGTCCGCAGCTGTTCATCAATTACAAGCTCAAGTCGGTGGCACACCTGCCGTGGAGGCAGATGACGTACAAATTCCTCAACACCATCGTGGACGACCTCTTTGCCTTTGTCATCAAGATGCCCACGCTGCACCGACTCTCCGTCTTCAGAGATGGTGCGTGGCTGTTAGCGATTGTATGCGATTGTGAGTGATGGTGAGTGATGGTGTGCGCCTCAACACCATCGTCGATGACCTCTTTGCCTTTGTTATCACGATGCCGACACTGCACCGACTCACCGTCTTCAGAGATGGTGTGTGGAATAGTAACGTCCTGTGATGGTATGTGACCGCATGTTTGCGTGTGCCTCATTACCATCGTTGACGACCTCTTTGCTTTGTCATCAAGATGCCCATGCTGCATCGTCTTTCTGTCTTCAAGGTTGGTACTTGATTGCCAGTAATGCAATTGGATAGTACATGATGTGATTGTATGTGATGTTATGTGATGGTATGTGATTGTATGTGATGGTATGTTTTTGTGTGATGGTGAGTGATTGTATGTGTATGTCAGTGATGGTATGTGATTGTACATGGTGGTATGTGATTGTATGTGATATGGCATCTGACTGTAAGTGATGGTATGTGATGGCTTGTTCCTCAATACCATTGTGGATGGATAATCTCTTTGCCTTCATTATCAAGGCAACTGCTCTTTTGTCAACCCAAAGCAATCTACCGAGCAATACTTTCTCCTTTCTGTGTGCCTTGCCCCCCCCTCTCCTCGCTCCCCGGCCCTCTGTTAACCCAGACATAATGTTCCACATTTTCTTGTACCAGCACTGGATCTACCCCGTTGACAAGAAGCGTGTCAAGATTCACTTTCGCACCCACCCTGTTTTTCCCACCCCCTTTCCCTTACACCCGTCCCCTTCCCCTCCCCTACTACCATCCGCAGACATCATCTTCCTCATCTTCCTGCACCAGCATTGGATCTACCCTGTCGATTAAGAAGCATGTCAAGGATCTCTTTCACACTCACCGTTTTTCCCCCTTTTTTTCCGTACTCCCATCCGCAGACATCATCTTCCTCATCTTCCTGTACCAGCGTTGGATCTACCCGGTCGACAAGAAGCGCGTCAACAATCCCTACAGCACCCCACCCCTTTCCCCAACCCCTATTCACTCCCCCTCCCTCTTGTGCGCCTTTCCCCTTCCCCCACATCTCCAGACATCATCTTCCTCATCTTCCTGTACCAGCGTTGGATCTACCCGGTCGACAAGAAGCGCGTCAACGAGTTTGGGTTCGGAGGGGAACCAGAGACAGCTGCCCTTGCTGGCTCTGCTGACGGTGCTGCGGATGGTGCTGCTGAGCGTGCAGGAAGCAGCAGAACAGACAGGCTGACGGCTGCTGAGGCAGAAGTTGCAGCTGCTGCTGCTGCTGCTGGTGAGGGTAGTGAGGGGAGAGCAGGGGATGACGAGGGTGCAGGTGCAGGGGCACGTGCTGTGTCGGAGCAAGGGCTTGTGAGGAGAGGCAAGGGGAAGGGGAAAGGGACGGCAGGAAAAGGGGGTGGAGGTGAGGGGGAGGAGAGGGGTGAGGAGGATGATAAGGTGAAGGAGAAATGAGAGGTATGCATGTGCTGACCAGATCTGCAGATTTAAGTGTATGGTAATGTTTCCCTGCAGCAGCGGCTGCTGCTGTTCAGGGTGGTGTTATATTTTTGCATGCTTTTACAATCTAACTCATTGTAGAGTACAAAAAATAGCGCAGAATATAGAGAACGCAATGACCATAAGTTGTAATTTGTACATTGGAGTTTCGGCTGTCTATGCAAAAAAAGGGTCTCTTGCATACTGTGCATATGCCTCGGTCTCTAGTTGTTTTGTGGCAACTGCAATGTCTGATTTGATCTGCGACACGAGGTCATCTGGGAAAAAACAATTTCAAAAGGGGGGAAAGACAGAATGGGACTGGTTAGGGAGGGGAAATTTAGCTAGCATTCAAAGAAGCCAAGGCTCACAAAGAAAGTGAGACTTGAAGACTTCGAGCAAAAATCATCCGTTTTGAAAACAACTCAACGTGGAAACATCTAGGTATTCAGTGCATGTGCGAGGCGAGCAAGACAAGGGGCATCACATCTTAAAAAAAAAAAAACAAAGAAAGCTGCGCCTCAGTGCATGCGCAAAGCAAGACAAGAGTCACTGGTGGTGTTGGGAGCAGCTTATAATATTATGATAGCAGGGGTTAACAAGGAACTGGGGCCAAGAAGGCAGACAAGGAACTCGTTAGCAGCAATGATGAGGTGTTATGAGCAAGGTGGAGACCACAAAAAAAAAAAACAAGAGGCGACGAAATCGTCTTAGGGTTGCGGAGCATCTTTACTTAAGTACATTTGGGTGGTATCGTTATATAAAACTTAGAATCATGTAACACTTATTGCTGCTCATTCAAATGCATATTTGTAAAACGTCCCGTGCAAGAATCGAAACGGACACCTTCCGATCTCACGCTCGTTCTCAAACCACTACGCAACGTGCTACTGTCTTGCGAAGTTGTTTTAAATTACTGTTGTGTTTTGACGCGATGAAATCACTCACCTCTCTAGGGTTTGTTTTTCCTTTCTCTCCCTCGTCTAACTCATCCAGATCTGTTCCCGCAAGCTACTCCCACTCCCGCTCCACCTAACTCTTCAAGGTCAGAACTAATATCTCAACTATTACCGGTAGTTAATGGTCCAACTATATTTCCCTTAGTGTCGTATCCTACTCTTTGCGTATTGTGTTCGCCGTTTTAAAGTTGTGCAAGTTGTTTAAGATAGGTTCTCAATTTTCAGTTTATGTCGTAATAGTCTCTAGGTAGTCGATAGGCCTGCATTCATTCCCGTTGTTTCATTCACGCCGCTTTTAAGCTCTCGACCTTGCATTTTCTCGTTTTCATTCGAATATTAAGTCAGTTTTCAATGGCTGCAGCCCTTTTTGCTACGTCGTTTTGAAGGGTTGCAGCCCTATTTGACGTAGATCCTAGTAACGACCAAATATACAATCCATCGATCTTGAAACTGATCTACTCCATGTGTGAATTTGAGGTCAATATTATATACTAGTCATTTGTACCCTTTTGCTTGTTTCTATGGTCGTAATGTCGTATTCTACTTTTTTACTAACGTGTTCGCCGTTTTTAAGCTATGCATGTTGTTAAAGATAGGTTCTAGGCTTTCAGTTAACGTCGTAATAGTCTCTAGGTCGTTGATAAGCCTGATTCCATTCTTGTTTATTCACTTTGCCGTTTTCAAGCTTATTTCGACCTTGCAGTGTGTCGTTTTCATTCAAATAGTGAGTCGGATTTCAAGGCTGCAACCCTTTCTGCTATGTCGTTTTGAAGGGTTGCAGCCCAATGCGATGTAGATGCTAGCAACTATAAATGATACAATCCATTGATCTACTACCTAGGTCATTTTGAAGCCGAAGATGATTGAATTTGATCTACTGCATCCGTTAATATCCTGTTTTTTTGTTTCTGTGATCCTCCACCTAACTGCAGGAAATGCTCAAGCACGTTGTTGTCTCAATTCCTTGTCTTTTTAACGGTGAGAACATGTTGGAAGAAAGAGAGCGAAAGAGAGGGAGAGTACGTAAGAGCAGCGGCAGAGGATATGGCACGGGTATAGGGAGAGAGCGTGCAAGAGAACGAAAAACGAAGTTGCTGTTTTGTTTAAATCTAGGTCAAATTAGAACTTAGTAATTAAGGTATTTTTCTTCGTATCCTTTCGAATATAGATCTCTTAACTCAATCCTCAATTCCTTCCATTTTTTATAGACTTGATTTTATGTTCTTCATTCTTTCCCCTTTTGTAAGCCCTTTTCTGTACATGCACTTTCATTTCTTTTTTATTCTTCAACATCACCTTTTTCGTTCTCTCTCTCGCTCCTCCCTCCGCCGTTTTCTCTTGCATTCCTTCTTCCTTTCTATTATATTCTCTCCTTGTTTCAGTCCTTGTCATTCTTCACCTCATGTTTATCGCATGCTTTCTTCTCTCCCTTGTTTCTTCTATTCTTCTTCGTGCTCGTTTTTTTTCTCGTTATCATAGAATACTTTTTATTCTCCGTTTTTTTCCTGTTTGGTTTGCCATTTCTTTCACTTGGTCAATCCGTGTATGTTGTTTCTGTTTGGTTATGATGTCATTCAATTTCTCTGCTTTCTCCCTTCTTCTGCCCCTTCCTTTCCCCGCCTCCCTCTCGCTCCCCCTTTTTATTATATCCTACCCTCCAGAGGCTTTGCTGTACCATTGGGAAGTCAAGACCAATATAGAAACTAGAAGTATATCAGTGTTGACTTGTATGATTGATGGTACTGTATTGCTTTGGTAGGTTTCTTTTGCCTTTTTTAATGACTTGTCTCAGTTTTTGCGCGTGCATATGTGTGCGTCTGTGTGTATGTGTCTTTACGTGTGCGTATGTATGTGTGTGTGCATTCATCCATATGTATATTGCATTGCATTAACAATGCATGTCTGTGTCTTTTAAAAAAATGATCAAACTATCAATTCCGAGAAGGTTCTTTGCCCACTCAGTGAGTGTGTTCACTTGAACTGGATTTGATGGATTTTGATCATTTTTTTAGTTTACACAGATTGTGTTGTTTTATGTAGCAGTTGGATGATTCAGCAACTATGCTATCGACCTCCCCCCCATGCTAGGCAGGGGATGCGGTAGCATAGGGTCTGGGTCAATTAACTGTTACGCATTTTTATCATGCTATGCATCTATTTCACTAAAGTACCGAATATATCGTAATATTTCACCATGGTAGCACATACATTACATTTATGCATTTTTCATTAAATATATGGTTCATTATATCCATCCATATACTTCATCTATGCATAGTATAATCCGGCATATGCATTACGAGATACACAATCAAACGTTCACGGTGACATCATTTTGACAATATAGATTCAATCAAGGCAAACTAGAAGGAACACACTACGGCACGTGGTAAATTATGGTGGCAAATACGTAGCATTTAGTTACTTAGCTACCATTCGCTAGATATTTTCCGTCGTTTTTATAGAGGACTGAAAAAAAAATTGTACATAACGATTGTAATAGGTTGCTCCGCAACCCAAAAAAAAAAAAAAAAAAAAAAGTGGAGTCGAAAGGGTAAGTGGGAGAGTGTATAGGGAGGGAGGGAAAGGAAGCGGGTGGGGAAGGTGGGGGGGATCGAAGGAAATTTCGCTGCAGCATCGGATCGATACTTTTTAAAATGAGAATGAGAAAACATGAGCTTCTTTTGAGAAATCTTAAGGACGGAAGGGAAGACTCACGTCAACACGTGGAAAAAATGTATTCCACCCAGTGCAAAAAAACTTTCTTCTTGGACGGATGTAGCCCAGCATTGCAAGTTTGACAAGCAATGATATCGATCAAGCGCGACGGGAGCAATTATGGGTTCTCACCTAGCGAGGAGAACTTTCTTTCTGGACGGATGTAGCCCAGCACAACGACCTGCAGCTCCTCACCATAAAAATCATCCTCAAACGAGGATAGAATGTGCACCTCCTGAAATAAAAACGGGGAGAAGGTACAACAGCAGTATTTGATTTTTGGAAAATGACACAATTGTACATATTATCCTCAAACGAGGACCGAATTTGCACCTCCTGCAGGGCAAGATGGAAAGACGTCAGAGATGCAAAATCCGAGTTTACAAAAGTAGCTCTTAAATTGAGAGTCATCCTCAAACGAGGATAGGATCTGCACCTCCTGCAGCGCGCAACACTTGAGGAAAGGCATACCCAGAGGGAGTAAAGTAGCATGGCGGCACCATGCATCACAGGCCAACAAGTCATTCCCAACAACAGGGTCATGGCAATAAACGCCACACACACACAGCAGCAGGCAGGTCATAATGACATCGCACATCATGACGTCAACGCACTCACACTCTATCATGACGTCATCATTCTTCACAGTGACGTCATCACGTACCACGGTGACGTCATCCCCGTCAACAAACGTGGGTCGCCTGCCAACGTTCAGCACCATCTTGAACACCCGAGGAACTCCCTCGCTCGCCTCTCCCTCTCCCCCCGCTCCCCTGTTTGTTGCCCCTTCACCTTCACGTTCCAGGTGGGGCAGTGTAGCCCACCCAAAGTACACGCCTCGCTGCATGCCCTCTAGCTGCTCTCTCAGCACGTCTGGCAGCATGTTGGCTGGTGGGGAATTGCAAGGGGAGCCGGGCAAGGAAGGGAAGCGGGGGGAGAGCACGATCACACTAGGATTAAAAAACCCATTCGCCCCACCACCACCCGAAGTACACGCCTCGCTGCATGCCCTCTAGCTGCTCCCTCAGCACGTCTGGCAGCATGTTGGCTGGTGGGGAATTGCAAGGGAAGCAGGCCAGGGAGAGGGTGGGGAGTAGAGCACAATTGGGCAAGGGTTGGGTAATGCATTTGCCAACATCAGTACACGCCTCGCTGCATGCCCTCTAGCTGCTCCCTCAGCACGTCTGGCAGCATGTTGGCTGGTCATGAACGGCAGGGGAGGGAGCGGGGAGAGAGCACGATCGGACTAGGATTGGAAAACCTATTCGACCCACCACCACCCGAAGTACACGCCTCGCTGCGTGCCCGCTAGCTGCTCCCTCAACACGTCTGGTAACATGTTGGCTGGTGGGGGGGAATTGCAGGGAAGCAGGCAGGGAAGCAGGGGGAAGGAGAGCACGATTGGAAACGGACTA